AGCTTTGTATCATCAGCAAACTTGCTGAGGAACAGAGGTTCCCTCATCCAGGTCACTGATGAATATATTGACTAGTACTGGTCCCAGCACCGACCTCTGAGGGACTTCACTAGGCCTCCAACTGGACTCTGTCCCTTTGACCACAACTCTCTGACTTCTTCCTTTCAACCAGTTCACAATCCACCTCACTACCTGATCATCCAGACCATACTTCCTCAGTTAAGCTGTGAGGATGCTGTGGGAGACGGTGTCAAATGCTTTGCTGAAATCAAGATAAACCACATCCATTGCTCTTCCATCATCTATCCACCTGGTTATGCCCTCATAAAAGGCTATCAGGTTGGCTAAACATGATTTCCCCTTGGTAAAACCATGCTGCTCCTAATGACCCTCTTATCCTCGATACGCCTAGAGATTGCACTGAGGATAAGTTGTTCCATCACCTTTCCAGGGATGGAGGTGAGGCTGACTGGTTTACAGTTACCCAGGTCCTCCTTCTTGCCCTTTTTGAAGACTGGAGTCAAATAAAGAACTTCTTAAAAACCCTGAATACTTATGACATATCCAAAGATGCAGAAATTAACCAGTTAGTTTATTGAAAATAGAAGGGCTATTTCAACTGGCTTTGAAGGGATAGACCAGAAGAGGGAAAAAAAGAAGCAGGAAGGTCAGAAGCATGTGTGGGGCAGAGAAGGGAACTGACACGCAGAGTGGGATTCATTTCACTTCACTTCAGGAAAATCGTGGCAAAGAAACCTTTCTCAGTAAAGTCATCCAAGATTCTCTTTGTTGTTGGCATCCAGAAAAAGGCTGCAGGAATTGCACCTCTAAAGTATCTTGAAGTATCTGTCCTAGGCATCTACTTTAGAATGAGTTAACTGGACCCAGAGGTGCCAATTTCTCTACTCAGACCTAAAAGGATCCTAATGACTAGCTGAGATCAGGACATCCATGTTTGTTTAGATTATTCACATCTCAGAAACTGTTACTGAAGGGAAAGACAAGTCAGTGGAAGCTTAGGGGAACACAACTTTGCTGAAATGCAAAGCTATATTAAAACTACAGCTGACTGAAGTATACGCCCCTGGCTTAGAGTTATTCAATAAATTAAATGAGAAAAGAGACATGAGAAGTGTACGGGAGGAAGAAGAAACCACACAGCCCTTATGGTTGATCTGATACTGAGGAGCCCCAGATGAAACAGAGAATCTTAAAATTTATTTTAAGAACTGTTGCTTCTACTGCTGTTCTCACAGAAACTATCAACAGTTGATTAAAGAGCTTTAGGCTTTATTAAAACAGTCCTATAGATACTGTTGATAATTACAAAGAAAGAGATCTTCATGCTTTCAGTGCTGTAACATGCCTGTGTAACAAAGCCTTTTCATAAGCAAAATGCACTGGCATTTGGTCTAACTGGCAGTTGGACTAGATGAATGTTGTAGGTCCCTTCCAACTGAAATATTCTTAAGGTCTAAAGACGTTTTAAAAGGATCCCGGGGCTTTCAGTGAGTACTCAAATAACAGACATTTCAGAGCCTCAAGGAGTCAACAAAAGTAAAAACAAACTTCACTTCCTGCTTCCTGAAACATCGGAATAGTACGGTCATAAAAACAAAGATAAACTCTCCTATTAAGAGCGCACAAACACTAAGAAATAGGCACACAGAGAAATTATGAATACACACAGATAAAATGGTATTACAGATCAACACTAATTTACCTCCTCTGGGTCAACAGGCTTTGTAAATGCTCTGAAACGTCTGTCAATGGCAAGTCTGTGAGTCACATCCCTTAAGAAAATCCTAAGTTCACGCAACGTATCCTCCTCCTGCTCCTCCAGCTTTCTTATTTCTTTCTCTGTCAGCTGTCGAGGCTTAGGTGGCGGTGCTACAGGCAGTACTTCTAATGTCCGCCAATCTTAAATCAATCAGAAACTTGTAGTCAATTTATGGTACTCAAATACAAGCACATGAAACATTACTGATAGAAAATTATCACCAAAGCAAATACTATATAGCTATTCGTTTACAGTTAGCAAAGTTTTAGATGTAGAATATCCTCACCTGCGTTGTTTTTTGATGCAGGAGGTTTAGCAGCTTGATTTAAAATTAAGTCCTCAAAAAACATTCTTCTTTCATCATTATTAGGCAACTGGATTTTGAAAACTTCTTCATCACTGTTAATAAACAATTCTTTTACCTAAAGCAAAAGGAAAAAAAGATATTTCGGATATAAGGCAACACTAATTCATATTCTATTCCAAAAACATGAGTACCGTTCTAATTAAACTGAATAATCAGCTGGCTAAGACAAACTATGAAAAGTTCTCTTCTTGGCCTTAAAATGCTAGATTTTCACAGGTCAGCACGGCAAATTAAATATCTTCTCTAAGGAACACCTCTAGAGTTAAAGCTCAATGAAGGGACCACGTGATACACTTATAAACTAGTGACATCCACCACCTCCAAGACTGTTTATTTTGTATTTATCTGCCTTGCTGTCCTTTAGTTTGAATCTTTGTGGCAGCAATGGAGGGAACAGGCAGGGCTGAGAAAACTGGTGCGGGCTTTTTGGTAAGGTGTTTTTGTTTTGTTTAATTAATTTAAATGAGGTGTCTGAAGTTGCATACTTCCCAGTTTTACTCAATTTTTCAATCTCTACGGCCAAAAGGTATGGAAGGAATTTCAATACTTATTTTAGAATGAATTTCTTAATGGTATAAAAACTTCTGTAGAAAGTTAAGCCGTTCCAAAGCATTTGATGATAAACACAGCTCAGGTAACCCCTCCTCCCCCGAAGTAAGTGAGACAAAATTATCTTGAGCAGCATATTTACATTTTAAACACCTTCCTTTAATGCACACTTGCAGATGTCTAGAATGCTAAGCATGCACTCTTACTGCATTTTGTTAAGGAACACAACTAAAAATTGATTTCCAAGTTACTTAAACATAAGTTGGATTTTAGCTTTCTAATTTGTAAAGCTTTCACCTATATGAAGAAAGAAATAGAAATTCTTATGAAAGAATTTAAATTTGAAATTATATTCCACATTAACAGTGACCACCATACTTTTTCTGTAAAAATACCCATCACTTTTCAGTAAAAATATCTTTTTCCCATTTACATTTCAAGCAGCGTATATTCTTGATTAAGTACATACATAACCATCTTTAAGTCACTGAAATTATTGTCTGAAGTAAATTTATACATCTGTCTAATAAGCATGAGTGTGTGAGAAAGGGGAAAAAGTTGGGTCAAAGTCAATCTCTTTACTCAGGAAACACTTGAGACAAATGCTTTCAGCATTGTTTTGTCCAAGCAAATTTGAAGAGACTTGGTTAGGGTGCCTGAGTAATAACAGTATGAATTTGTTTAAGAGTGCACAGTACTCCAGTGCTTAAAGGATTTGTAAATTAATGAGAAATTTAATAAAAAAAGAAAAGTATCAACAGAAATACCTCTTTGGGGAGATCTTTGTAGCACACATCAGAAGTTGCAAGCAGCAAAACTGGAGCAAATGTTGGAATGTTCTGCAGTAGTGTTGTAAAAGTAGCTTTCAATGTAGCTCCAACAGCCTCCCACCACAAATGGATGTGTGGGATATAAATTATACTTGGTGATGTTCTTTGAGCTTCTCGCATCAACTGGTAACATGCAAACTTGGATAAGAAAACTAGACCATGTAGAATAGGCTAATAAATAACTACATATCAGTCAAACTATCGTACAAATAGGAATACATGAAGCCAAAACATCAAAACAAACCAAGAAAAGAACAACTCCTTAACAATAAGGTAAACTTTTCACTTTGACTCACATGCAGGCATTGCTACGCAGACAGAAACAGACCTGAATCTCTGCCTGATTTCAAAAGTACTTAGGTGTAAGGTAACTCCTAAAGAGCCCCACAACTCATCTGGTGTGGTCCCCATGCCTGGAAAAACAAGTCTAACCGTTCAGCAAGATGTGTTAGTCTGAGTAAATCACTACACAACTGCGACTACACTGCCCTCAATTCAGAGCAGGCACATATCCAAGTGTGTCTGCAACAGTCTGAACAAAGACCTATGTGAGAAGATGAAGGCTGACACTGTGTAAGAAGCCTGGTTACAATTCATAATTTCAAGCACATTTTATAAGAGGTGACCAGTCTTCAGCCTGCCTGAATAGCTAAATCACTCATAGCCTCTCTTTACCAAAGGATCCACCAGACCAGATTATGTGTTTTGGAGACCACAAGCCATTGCCTCCAGATGGTACCTCGATCACAGAAGAGGACATCCATCTACTACATCAGGGAAGCAGCAACAGTCCTTTCACATGACAAATTTCTCCACATACCCTTTCAGACCGTCAATATGCAGGGAGTTCCCATCACAAGATGGGAAGTGCATGTGGTGTATCTGGGCAGTGACTAGACGTGGCAGTTATATGACCACAGATGCAACCATCACATAATAAAAAAGGAATTGTTCCTCTTATGTGACAAATTAATATCCAGTCATGTATTGTGTCTGTCCTTACTTGTACAGCTCTCAAATGCTGCTACTAAAGGTCAAAATATTTTAATACAGTGATGCCAAACAACAAAATGATTTCCTGCCTAAAAGTAAAAAGGAATACAGTGCTAAATCTGCTTGTATTTCATTTTCCTAGTTAAGAAAAACTCACTAGTGTACAAATGTTAAGTGTCCAATGAATTTTAATGCTTTTACTGCATCTACTGCAGCAGCAGAAGCTGCGTATGTATACATAAAAAAACCCCACTTCTTTTCCCCCAAAACCTTGATCACCTTACAAATATAATAAAAAAGGCTACAAAAAGTGCATGATGTGAAGTCAGGCTGATGCAGAGCCATCTACTGGGAGGGCAAAGTCTTGAGAAGCAATGAAAACAACTTTCTGGATCCCACCAAGATGGGCAAGATTTCTTGCCATAAAGAGGGGTTTTGTTAGCAGCAGTTCCCAGCTTCCCAAGCTGCTAGCAACATCCTCACTGTTTAATTTAATGGAAAATATGGCTAGGTACAACATCCTGATTTGGTATTATTCGATCTAGAAGAAAAGCCATTTTCAGACAGAAGCAAACATAACAGCACATTCAAACCAGGCCACCTCCGTTAACAATGGATTTTGCTTACTTTACTAGTTTATATACAGTTCATGAATCCTATGAAATTTAAGAGAGAAGAAGATACCTGTGCACATGTTTCTTCTGGTGATATGATGCTAACAAACAAAACAGATAGGTCTAGTGTATAAACTGGAAACTTTTCCAGGGCATGTATTACTGCAGGTGCCAAATGAGAAGCGTGCCCATATCCTGGCTCTCCAACTAGTAAGAACCGAGGCCTGCAAGCTGTTGGCTGGTAATAAGCATTTCTAGAACAGTAAGAAGAAAATAAGTTAAGTGATTAAGTGACGAATAGACACACAGATGTTAAATAGTCTCTATATTCCAAGAAATAATAAGCTGGTCTGTGATCAGGAAGACTATCAAAGCCCATTTTCTTATAAACTTGTACCATACCTCCCCTAAAAAAATCTTTCCAACCCCCAGCATGTCTGCTACTCGTTTGGCTGGGTTAAGTAACAACTCTTAAATCACACAGGGGGACTGTCCAGCTACATACACACAGGACAAGTGGTCAGTAACTTGATGGGGGAGATTAACAACTCTCTCAGCAGACACCAATTAGAATCTCTTCACTGCCTGTGCACACCAATTTGCAGTAGGGCTTGAGTTTACATAACTGTGAGATCTCTAAATCTGTCAAGTTTAGCTGAAATTTGGCCACAGTTACTGGAGATGGTGGGAAGGAAGGAGCAGAACAATTTCAGAAAAAATTAGCTTGTGCACTGAAACACATTAGCTGTTAAAACTGGATTGGTTAAATTACAGCAGGACACTAAATATGTTTAAGATTTATATTTATTTTATTTAATCATCTAATTGTTTCATTTTAAATTGTGTATTAATCTCCTAGTAATCTTGCTTTACTAACATGAAACACAAATTGTGAAGAGCATTTGTTTTTTCCACCACAATACTGCTGTACCTTTACTAGTTGAAGTTAAAGATCCTAGAGACCTAACCAAGCTCAGCAGGTCAGAAGATTTTCTGGACAGCACACCAATAGAAATTGAGAAAAATAACTGACTCAATAGTGATGACAATAATGTATTTTTTCAACTGTTGGCTCAGAAAACTTCCACATTAAAATGTCAAAAGATTAACATAAACTTAGTAGGTTAAAGGTACAAAATGCAGACATAGTTTAAGTTTTTCTCAGTGTTTTAACACACCATTTCTCAATTTTGTTTCTGCTACATAATTTGCTACTGGTTTAACAATCTTGGAAAGTAGAAGAGCAAAAGATGGCTACACAAATCTTCCCCCCCCCACCCCAAAAGAACAGACAGCACATTTCTCAAGTTTTTCAAGAAATACCAAGGACTAAATCAACACATTCTAATAGTCTATGGACCACTTTGACTTAGGAAAAGAGGGCTGGGCTGTTCAGTTTGGTGGGTTATGGTATTTCATTAGAACATTAGTACCCAGCTGGATCATCACACTTGCTTCTTGCAAATATTGATCACCACCCATAACACTTTACTCCTTCATCTACCACCCCTCATGCCAAAACTGTTTACAGCCCCGGCCATCTTAAAAATGTAAACACAAAGGGGATAAACAGTTACCTGCTAAAATTGAGGAATTTTTCCTTTTCTCCAGGCATTTTCTGCATTGGATTATCTTCAAAGATTGATAGTGATTCCTCATCACTGTCAATGATATCATTTCTTAAAATATGATTTAAACTGTCTGAAAAAAACCAGAGGTTTGTTAACTTTCCTGAATAGTCCGTATCTCCAATACAAGGTATTGTGGTCCTGATGTTCTTCAGACAGGAATTAGAAGCATTCATGTAAAAATGCCCATCTCCCCCCATTTAAACATTTATTTTGAAACAGGTGCCTCATACATTAAAACTTAGATCCATCTCTACAAATGCTAAATATGATGTTAGCTACTGTCAGAAATGGTGCTGTAGTACAGAATGCATGGTTTTGTACTGCATATTACAAGTCATTAACAGCTCCCACCCAGCACTTCAGTTTAAAATCCAGAATAAAACTACGCACGATATTCCTGAAATAAAGGAGTGCACATGCATATTATACAATTCTGCTGTCATTATGGCTGAGAGTTTTGTGTATGCTGATTGCACAAATCAGAAGTTTTTGCTTTGGCAGAATTTTAAAGAAGTGGATGTTATTGTTATACCTTGCTGTTGATCCTTCTTTAGTGCAAGCTCTGTGTGGGGAAATACTCTCTGCAAGGCCTGTAAAATACTTGCTAGTGTATTTTCAAGCAGTGGTTTTGCAATAGGTGATAGTGCTCGCCCAGGTGAAACCACAGCCCTCTGTGAAGCTGGAACAGTCTTCTGCATAGCCATGACAAAATCCTTTGCTGTTATTTTAATAGAAGCAACATCCAACTGCAGTTTCTCACTACTTTTGTATATCTGAGGATAGCGGCGGCGCAAAGCAGAGAGGGCAGCTTCAGCACATAAGGATTTAATATCAGCACCACAGTATCCTAATAAAGAAAACAAGAATCAAATGTTATGTCAGTCTCAGGCAACACAAAAGTCAAGGTCAAGGTTTCCAAAGTGCAACACTGAGAGACTTTACATGCAGCCAAAAATTGAGAGGTTAAGAGAGAATTTAAAGCGTTACTGCAACACAGAGAAGTTTTGTTACGTGGCTCACAGCCTGATACCCTGTGCTTATAAAGCAGCCTCCTCATGAAAACTTTGCTCCCGAGGAAGATGCTCAAAACCCATCCAATGTTCTGAGAGACAAAAAGAAAATTAAAAGAAAAGAAGCATCTAACTTGGTTTGCCCCCAAGGCTTGCCAGCTTCCTTACTGCCTTGCTCTGCAGCAAGGCACAAGAGCTTGGGTACTGCCTGGTACAAGCTCAGATTCCTTAGGACTCAGTCTCAGACAGTAACTCACTTTGTTTCCAAACTCACCACCGCATTTTTCAGCTAGCTCTTCAAGAAACGTGTCCAATGGCTTAGGGGTCCAGTCTCGAGTGTGAATCTTGAAAATCTCTTTCCTAGCCTGGAAACAAAATGATTGTGTTTTAGTTTGTTCTAAGTTTCCTCTTAAAAAACACAAAAACAACACAAAACCCCAAAAGCCCTCACATTAATACAAATGCTTTTCTTATCTGCTAAACTTTTAAGTATGTTAAAGTTCAGTTAACAAGCTGCCTGCTTTTTCAAGCAGGAAGTTTAGTAATTCTTAGTTTGTTACAATAAACTCTTTCTGGGGCCTGAAATGAAACAAAAGGCATTTATAGCTTCCATAAAAAGTAAATTTCCAAAGATATGAGACCTAGTGATCCTGAGGAAAAAAAAATGTAGTAAAAAAGCTTACCTGCAAACCAAGATTTTTAATTGAAGAAAATTATCTCAAATTTAGCAAAATTTCATGGTGACATTGTCATTAGTTCATCAAATTTGCTTTTCTGCCAGTTCATTCAAGGAGAACAGTCCTAGCACTATGTTTTAAATTGTTACAATTACAACAAAGAACAACAATAATTATGACTCAAACTACTGTCACTGATCTAGAAAATGTGAAACGTTGCCTATCTTCATCTCTGATCTTAGCACGACTTTCATTTAAGTATTTCCTGGTACACACATTAATTATGGTAGATTTCTAGAATTCTTCCACAGTAGAGAATCATGTATTATATCTGTATCATGGCACCTCCTCTCCTGTTCCTAGAAGCAGGTAAAAACTGAAGAGAAATTATTTTATTAGATAAGCTGGTTAGTGCACTTTTACTAGCCTTCAATTCAGTAATAATTTTATCCTTTTTCCAAAAAGTGCTAATAAAAGAAAAAGTAGGATCAGTGATAGCCAGAGAAAACCCACAAAAACAGGGATTTGCACAGTATCTCCCTCCTCCAATATTTTTTGGTCATTATATACCTATTTTTTCATTGCTTAGCTATTGTCATTGAACTAGAAGCTTTCCAAGCCCTGCACCTGTGCGGCGTACTTCACATCTTTGTCCAACTTCCTGTGAATAAGTACCAGTGAGAATGTCAGATCCCAAAATATTTATAGGTGTCTCCCAGGATGCCTAGCCTGGGAACAATCGAACGTGGGTATGTCCACTATCCATAAACCAAGAACTGAGAGCAAGTGCACTTCAGGATGAAAGTATATAAGTGGATTAAATAAGTAATCAAATATGAACTGCTTTGGGAATGAAAAATTTTAATTTGCTCCAGCACCAGCCTCAATAAAACTTTTCTGTTAGTAAAAAGGAATTCTTGTGTGCACACCATTTCTTTCATTTTCAAGATGAGACAGCAGTAACTTATAGCTAATTCATACATTTATTCTTTCTTAAACATTTCAGTGACTAGCAGCATCCCATTTTCTTGGCTGGTCACAGTGAAACCAAAACTAATTATAGAACTAACTACCTGTTGAAATAATCTTAATCATATTCAGTACCAGATCTGCCCTTCACAGTAAAACACAGTTTCTCCAGATACCCCTCTTTTGTCCAAGTTGTACAATACTGATTTCTATTTTAACTGCTCCATGATACCACATTGTTATGTGGTTTTGTTATAAAGATGGACTTTGCCACGTTAGCATTAAGACTGAGTTTAAGTTCTGACCTCTTTATTTGGCAAGCTGAAGAGAAACTCTCGATCAAAGCGTCCGGGTCTTCGTAAAGCAGGATCTAGAGAATCCAGTCTGTTGGTGGCTCCGATTACCACAATCTCTCCTCTGCTGTCCAAGCCATCCATAAGTGCCAGAAGTGTTGATACAATAGAGCTAACAGAAAAACAGAATTTCCATTCACTGGTTTAGTAAATTTTGTTACATTCTACACGACCTTCTCCAATGATCACTAACAAGATTTTAATTGATGAGGTGCTGATTAGTGAAAGACTCATTTTAAGATATAAAAAATAGATAAGGTAACACAGGTCTTGTGCTGATACCAAACTTAGTGAATTGTTTTAAATTATTGTTTAAAAATAATCTGAAATTTAGTAGCATTGAATTACTAGTTTTCAGGATAAATGAATGTGTCACAAAGTTAAATAGGTTGTGGTCTTCTCTTCACAAAGATCAAGCAGCTTTTAAGTAGATAGAAAAAATGTACTACCTATGAATTTGGTCTTGTTTACTGGACCGCACAGGAGCCAGACCATCTATCTCGTCAAAGAAAATAATGGAAGGTCGCATCTGGTAGGCCTAGAATGAAAACACAGGCATGTTAACATAAGTAAAACAGAACTATTTTGAAGAGAAAACGCATGAAAAATGTTATGTTTGGAAAGTCACTGGAGCTAAATTTTTCAAGCACATACCAGGGATCTCTACTAATTGAGCTAATGAAGTAAGTGGCACAAATAGCTAAAGACAGTAGCCTATGTCAACCCACTGAGGCTGGGTGACAGGAAACAAATCATACCAGTAGTTTTTACAGCTATTTGGCAACCACCAAAACCAGAGCCAAGACCTAATTCAATTACAAGTTATGGAAGCAAGCTTCCATTATGACTTTAAATGACCATGCTTTCAGCCCGCATCTGTTTCCCTCTGATCTAAAGCCACCATCTCTTGCCTTGTGCAACCTTTTTTATGGCTGTTTTTTTGTTTTGTTTTGTTTGTTTGTTTTCAGGCAGCAGGGGTGCTTTGCAAGGTTCTTGTTTGTTTCAGTAATCTTTCCCAATCCATCTCAAGATTTCAAGCCCCTAGAAAACCCACTGAAGAAGGAAACACTGACAATCCCATTTCAGTGGAAGGAACTGACAAAACACAAAAAAGATTGAGTTCTCCTTAAAAAGATTAGCCACAGAAAATTACAGTTACAACTCAGACAGAACACACAGTATGTTTCAACCTTACCTGATCAAATAATAAACGAAGCTGTCGTTCAGATTCCCCTACCCATTTACTCAGGCAGTCGGCACCTTTTCTCATAAAGAAGGCTATTCTCCTGTCACCTTGGCTACATTCATTAGCAAGTGCACGAGCAACCAGTGTCTTTCCAGTCCCTGGTGGGCCATAGAAGAGACAACCTCTGCAATTAAGAAAAAAAAATCATATAAGGAAAAGAAACCATCATGGAAAAGTACCTATTACAACCCTCATCCCTAGAACACACAATGCTTCTCTCCAAACCAAAACACTTAATGTGGAAGTGTTAGGAAGAAATTCTTCACTGTGAGGGTGGTCAGACACTGGAACAGGTTGCCCAGAGAAGCTGTGGATGCCCTCTCCCTGGAAGTGTTCAAGGCCAGGCTGGATGAGGCTTTGAGCAACCTGGTCTAGTGGAAGGTGTCCCCGCTAATGGCAGGGGGGTTGGAACTGGATGATCTTTAAAGTCCCTTCCAACCTGTACCATTCCATGATTCTACATATAAAATAGCAGTAACAGCCGATGTGTGAGAAAAGTCAAAACAGATGTAAGTTTTGTGTTCCTACACAATTCAACAAGGCAGTAAATGAAATTAATAAAGAGGATAATGCAGATGTACAAAACCTTGAGAACAGATCACAGTGTCCCAGAAGGACACTGCTGACAAACTAACAGGGGTGATTACAGTGGAACCAAACAAGAACAAACTTCAGTGCAGAATCTGACACTGGGCTAACTTATGAATCACCAGTTCATTCTCCAATGATAAGACTGCATATTCATTCTTGCTTTCAAAAAAGGCAAGATTTGATAGCAAAGCATTTCATTCTCCCTTAAAAAAGCTTTAAGTTACTGGATTTGGTCTACCAGACCATCCATTGCTGATGAGAAATGAGGAGGAAGATTAAAAATGGGAGAGTATTCTGCATTTCCAGATGAATATATCCATCAACTAGAAAATATACTGCTGTTTCAATAAGAATTTCAATGACTAAATAGGCAAAACACTAAAATATTTTTTTCTTATTTGTAATTCTTTAAAAGTTACTGAAAGCAAAGATTTTAAAGCCATATTTCAATATACCATGACTGTGTTTTGCTGACCAAGAATATATAAAGCTAACAGTTAAATCTTTAGTAATTTCATTTCATAACACAGAGTTAATTTAGCTATGTAAGAAGTGGGCAGATTCTTATTTTAGCCCAAGCACAACAAACACTGCAAGGTTCTAGTTGTAAGTCCTACCAATTGTAAAATTGATACTTGAGCACTTGGAAAAAAAGGAGTCAGTGGGAGAGACAACTGGACTTCCAAACAACAAATTACAGTTGACCACTAGTAGATAATTCTTTTCTGCTTATAAAATAAATAATCAAGTTGACTTCTACATAGAACTCAAAACAAAAACACCCCAACCCCACCTTTTAAAGGCAAGACACTTTATATTCTCACTACACAGTAAATCTTTGAACCTACATATATTATGGATTCTATACATTTTTAAGAAATTGCTTTTTAGTACTGCTAAAAAATACCATCAACACCGCTATAAATTTTGAAGCATGGAAACATATCGATACCTCAGTTTAATATTCTCCTGAAAATGGGTGAATTAGAATTTGTAGTTTTAAACTATGCCTGTTACCTTGGAGGTTGAATTTTGAATCTCTCAAAGACTTCTGGGTAAAGCAATGGAAAAATCACCATCTCCTTCAAAGCTGAAACGTGGTCAGAAAGACCACCCACAGCATCAAACCGTACCTAAAAGTAAATTCAACAGAACACAGTTAAAGAAAGCTGCAACTTCGATAAGGTTCCATCAGAAATCGTACGCCAGCGCAAAGGAAAAGGTCTCGGGGCAATTTTCAAATTGCTTGAGAGAAAACTAAACCAAGGCAGTTGTAGACGGCATGTAATTGAAAGCTTTCATAAACACTGGGAACATTGCACTGACACAATGAACTAAAAATAACTTACCGAACCATCTATCTGCATGGGATCAACATCAGCCAGACTTGCTCCAATTTTCATTCGATCCTTGTGAATTCCCTTTAAGTCATCTTTCCGAAAGTTTAGTGGAAGACACCTGATTTGAATTGAGGGGGAAAAGAAAGGTGCTTTCTAACTTAAGTGCAACTACAAGATTTTTGCTTTTATAATGATGGCAAGTGAATGCAGAATACCTCATAAATGAATATAAACTTCCTAAATAATTAAATATTGATTAAAATTGTTTTACATTTAATGTCCATGAGTAAATAAAGGAAAATGGTCACTCCAGACATTAAACTGAGTTAATTATTTTAAGAACTCCTAGAACTTATGAATATCCATGGCCGTCAACACAGCACATATATGAATGCAAACTGAGAACAAGTTATTTTGTATGTGGAGACTGAGCTGACCTTTATTTGTGTGATGGAAGAACCAGCCCAAAACATACTGATCTTTCAAAGATATTTTGCTTCTGCATTCAAAAAGTTGCAGCCCAAGGGGATACTTATTTCAGTGTGGTTTAACATTACAAAGGCTGCCCACCACTGCTCGTCCTTCCCAAGGACTTTGGGATGCATATGCCAGAAGACACACGTCTGAAAGATTTGGGCTGACTGTTATTAAGAGTATTTCTAGAGCATTTGTTAAGTAACAAAACCTCTGTTATTGCCTCTATTTATAACTTTTTCTATTATGGTGGTTGTCCTTCCAAATAAACTACAGTAATGCATAGGAGCGGTAAAATTTTACATTAAAAAATTACATAATTGTTCCTCACCCCATTCCTGCCTAAAATTAAACTGCTTATTAAAAATCAATTCTAAAAACCCTATTTTAAAGAATCCAGTTACAGTCATCAGTACCAACATATATGATTAAATATTGCCACAATTTAGAAACTGTAAAAGATTAAGAGGATAACATGTCACAGTGAGGCAGATGCAAACTTCTACCAAGTAGATTTGTCCTTCCCCTATTCTCCAGTTTCACTAACCTTCTTAAGTCTCTGTTACAGCTATGCTTCCTGTGCCTCTTAGGATCCTCTTCATCACTTTAAAGTGATGAGGATGAGGATGAGGATGAGGATGAGGATGTGGAATCACTGTTGTGGACTGCATGTCTCCGTCTGCAAATATTTAAGCAAACAAGTAAAAAAATTAAAGTACATGCTAAGCAATATAAAAATTTAACTGAATTCTATCTCAGAATTTACTTTGAGATCTATTAAGTTTCCAGATCATTATACTCCTTATGAATCTGATTTCAAAGTATATTACATGAATTTACATGACAGCAAAATTAAGTTTTTCTTAGGAAGGTAAAATGTTTAACTATTTTGCAAAGAAATTTCATAAACAAATTACTAATTTTGTCCAATCTCTCAGACACACAAATAAAGTTTCACTTAGCATTATGTATCCACTCTGTGAAACAAACTTTTTAAACTTATTTAAAAATTTGGCTTCAAAAACCCTTCCTTCCATAACTGCTTGCTTTCAAGGATGCTAAGCAAAGTGCTCATATCTAGTAAGAGAGGGCATTCTCCATGCTCTGACTGCTTACAGAATCCAAAACCTCTTTGTCATTACTATTGCAATTTATAATTTCATTTAGCATTTTTCTGGTTTAAGAATAGTTTCATACACAAACGTTAACTGATTCCAAAGGGAAATCAGAATCAGTATTTGAGTGATTAAAAAAACACCCCAACCCACTAAAACTTCCATACAAGCTCTCCTTCTAACTACATTATCTTCAGTTTTAAGAAAATAATTTGTATCCTTCAAGATTAAATAGTCTTAAGATTTTCAGAGGCAGATTCTGGCTTCAGTTCCAGAAAAAAAGGACTTCAGCCACAGCCTCCATAATAATCTTATCAGTGACCACAAATACTGCATAAAAAAAAAAATCTAATGGCTAATAAAAAGTGCAGTCTCCCTTCCCCTCAATAATTGTTTTCTTTCTACCCTCAGATTACCACAGCAATAATTATACTATTAATCTGTAATCACCACCAATCCAAAAGCCTTTGAAAGCATTATTCAGTAATGTGACTGACAGCACTACTGATAAATAAGAACTATCACTAACCATACACCAACCTGTTAGTTCTTTTGCAGAAAGCACCTTGTGCCTGAGCACTTCTAAATGAGTACCTCTGTCTGACAGGTGAAGACCGGCCCGAAAAATAGATCTTACGTTGTCTTGGTTCTGTTGAAAGCAAAGAATATAGAATAATGTAAGAAACAAGTTTAAGAGAAAGCAGTATGGTGAAAGAGGCAGAAAATGCAATGTGCTTCACCCACCTCTAGAAGTTTCAAGTGATTTGGGAGGGGGGTGATTTTTTTTTTTTTAAATCAGTGCACAGTAGAAGTGAAAAAAACACACATCTGCTTTTTAAGGAGAACTGAAAACCACAATAGTAAGATTAGGAAGTCTGTTTAATTACTGTTCTTTCAAGGATACACAGGCCATTTTTTAACTGAAAAACAGTAAGTATGCCAAATGGCAAAGAAATACAATGTGCACAGGATACATGCACTTAATAAAATTTACTTGCAGAATGAAGGTAAGAAATTTAAATAGAAGCTGAGTGTGTATATATTTTCTTTTTTTAAAAAAAAAACAACCCAACTTACTTATATGTAAGAAATTAGCTCTTAAGAGAAACTGTGCATAACCTACTTTCCAATGGAGCTTGATAGCGCTCAACAGTTTTCCTCTGTCGAAGGTCATAACGTTTTCGAGTGTCTTCACCATCATCATCTTCTTTATCTTCACTTTCTTCTGATGAAACTAGAGGACATCAACATAACATTAAACTGTTCAAGTACTGCTGTAAATCATACTAAATTCAAAATGCACTACACAGATGCATATAGGTTAATGACCTATTAATGACACAACAGGTCTGAAAACCTGCAAAACCTTAAGACCAATTTATGCAAGACACATCCCAGAAATTAAAGAACACAGAGGAGCATACATATAGACACTGTTCTGTCCTTGATGAAATTGCTGAGTGACTTCTTAACAGTCTTAGTAACAGCAATTCTGTAATCTTGCTAAGCTGAGATGCAGCTCCTATGAAAACCACTATTTCAGAAAGTAATTTCTTGTTATTTTGAGAACGTGTTTCAAGGAAGTATTTTTAATACTCTATGGTGGCAAGACTAAGCATGGCAATCTAGCTCCAAATCCTAGCTCTGCCACAGATTACGTGAGCAATAAGGGGCAAGTCAGTGGTTTGAACTTGCTCAATCAGAAAATAATGTCAAATGCATACAGTTTATGCCACTAGCACCTATAAAGTAACTTGATTTTTTTTAATGAAAGATGGTAAGAATGCAAAAACCAGAGTATAATTATCTAGCAGGTTCTTAGTAACACCCTCTCACATTAATAGCTCGACACCAGAGGAGGAATGCACACGCTCTGTTCACCTACCTGCTCACTAAAATTAAGTAAATGTTATTCCTTGGAAAGCACTACCCTTTTTTTTTCCTTCCCTCCAAAAGGTTGCACTGTGTTCTGAATGCAAGATAAGTTACAAAATATATATAGACAGCACATGGAAAACTGAAAAATTATTCTGGCATCACTACCATCCCCAGTCCTTGGTACTCCAACACTCCTGTCACAAAGGCACGAATTTCTCTGCTTTTCTGCAGAGAAAAATCTCCCTGCTCCACTCACCTTTACACCAATACTGACATACTTTTCCCACTCCTTTCTGGCCTGCTTTTCATTATAAAAGTATATATTTTTTTTTCCTAATTTAAGATGCCAAAGTTTTCACTGTGATCACAAATGAATTGCCCCATACTCTTATTTTCCATTCAACATACTATTTATAGTTACTTCCTACAAGTCTCTCCTGCCCAACACCCCGAGATCCACACATTTGAACCAAGCTATATAGTTTTTCCCTCAAGACTGCCCATGCCTTGTATTAAAGCTGCTCCTACTAAAGCCTTGAGTTGGTATTCTCCTAACTAGATCTCCAAAAACAAAGAGTCAGCTGTCCTCCCTTACCAGTCAAATGCCCTTGGTACATCCAATCACGTTTCTTTTTCTTAATGCTTCACCCTACTTCGGCTGCTTTAGGTCAGCCTCTCACTGGACTCCTCCTGTGGCTCCCAAGTCCTCCCTCCCTGCTCTACAAGGAGGTCTGACCACTGAGGTGCACACCTGGGGAGCAACAGGCTAGGTTCAAACTAACTACAGACCACGGACTGTTCTCTGGCCTGTTCATGATTAGGAACAAATGACCCCAGTGCCCATTAACACCTGGACATCTAGCTTGAACCTTTTTGTAGGTCTCCATTGCCAGTGGTCAAGTCTTGCAGTCTGTGTGATGTGTAGAAGACACTGCCCTTGCTGGGTACTGCATAACTCATCTCTTCCTCAAGGTCTGATGGTCAGACAGGTGATCAGGCACAGGGCATAGTCAGTCAAGTGTACTGACCAGCCAACTATTTACATATGACTGGACCTTTTTATCCCCTTGTCCCTTTATTTTCCCATTCCTGTTCCTCACAAAGTCTCCTAAACCCCTCCCTTGTCCCACCTTTGCTAAAGATCCTATAATAAGTCACGTGTGAGCTTGCTTTTCCCCTGCATCCCACAATACGTCCCACCCTTGGGCAGTAACCCCTTATTCCAGAAGGTGATCTGGAGAGCTGCCCCAGTGACTCATCCAGATGGGTTTCACATAGGGACACTGGGGCTGCTGGGGGAGGCTTAGGAGGAGCCAGACAAGATGGCTGCTCCTCCTTGATTTGAGTTCCTGCCTGCCATTGTGTGCCCCTGTGCTCCTCTGGGCTTGTGCAGATAGGACCTTGATGGGCTGACAGCCCTGGGATGGGCCTGGGAGCAGCCCAGCCAGGTATTATTTGGCTCCCCCTCCTGCCACTGTCTCTCTGAGCTCCGCTGTGGGTGTGCAGAGGAGGTCTATCACAAAATCTAACACTGATCAGCTCAACTACTGCCACATCATTTTCTGTCCTGAAGTACAGTCTCATCCTGTTCTGTTCCACCCAGAAAGCTCCTACAAGGACTGTTGGGCTGACTGCTTTAATCACAACTGTCATTCTCCTTAAAACCTTAAAGTTTTTCCTCATCATTTCAGATACAAATATGGCCTTTTACGATTTAACCTTATTCCTCATGTTATTTCCTACTGAGTACCGTGGGTGACAGCTCCTAATTACAGGCCGGGACAGCAGCTTCCACTGACTACCTGCTAAACACAAGAATGAACAACGCTTTCTTCTCCCCTGCATGATCTTCATGCTCTGGAGGAGCTTTCCCT